TGCTCAATGTGCTCAAAATGGCTGGAGGAATGGCGATCTTGTCAAATATCCTGCCTGCTAAGAGTTAAAAGGATCACTTGCAGGAAAAGCCTACAACTAATCGGAAGGCAAATTTTTGAGTGAGAAAGCCGAAAAAGAGGTGAAATGAAAGCTCACGAAGGTTGCTAGGTCGCTATCATAGGAATCTCATAGACGAATTTCGTTCACCATTGAAAAGATATTTACTATGGAACAGGTACTCAATAAAAAGAACGAAATGCAAAATTAATTCGAGAGAAGTGATCCAGCTCAAAGTCCACCCAGTCTCTTTGAAGGTTTACAGGCACCATTACCGATGTGGAGACGCGGCCAATCTCTGTATTTTATTGAGAAAAAACAAGGACCAGCTCCTGCTGTATAGGAGGCACCTGACGCTTGGCATTGACATTTCAACAAGACGGGGTCCAGTGAAATATTGTATACTGCCGCTAGAACGAGTTTCCCGATTTCATTGCCTTGGAACAGTGGCCACAGAACAGCCTCAACCCAAATCCAATGAATTTTCGATATGGTTGCTGCTTTAAACAAAAGCATGTGCATGACCGCATGAGAGCTTTGGTAGTATTAACAATGAATTGCAAAAAAAGTTCTGCCCTTGGCAAACTTCCTTTTCAACTGCTCAACAGAGCAATGGTTGGCCAGTTTTATCTCGGAGAAGGCGGGGTTTGGCTTCTATACATGTTTGCCACAAAATCCGGTGTCTGCTAGCCAACAGTCCACTGTGATCAGCTGCAGCATCATTCTGGCACGGAAGCTATAACAACAACTATAACAACATAGTTAAAAACGAAATGCTCTCTAGGCACATTAGACGTGTTGACAAAGGCAGAATTTACTATGGAAAGTCAGCTCATTGGAAACAGCTCATTGGAAATAAGGGTAAAGGTCAGTGGAGCAGGGATGAAGAAGAAACCATTTGAAACGGCCCGAAACCCGAGAAATGGGACCCCTTCCTTGCCCGTTGATTTGCGCATTGATGCGACTCTCATCGCTGTGCCCTCTTCAACACTACGCTCTCTCTGCTATCTAATCACTCGCCACGTATACCTGCGGCGAGTGATTAGATAGTCGGTGGGCGTACCCCGCCAACCGCGCCAAGAGTGAGCCATGCTAGATCGCCGAGGTCAAATCTTTCGCTGCCAATTGCGCGTCGGTCAGCACCCTCAGGAGGTCCGCCTTTCCCCTAACTTTGCAATTTTCCCCGGTGTCGTTAGATAGGTCCACTTACTTGCTACTAATCTACTGAAAAGATACATTAGCTAATCGAGATGGTTATCAAGTTTTGTAGAAGCAAAAGATTTTGTGAAGATATCTCTCTTGTAAATTATCTTGTAAAGACGATATGAGGGATTAGATAGGCGCCAACTTTGCCCATCTGCCATTTGGTCGACACGTCCCATTGCTAGCCGCGGCATCGCACGACACAAGGGCTACGTCGTAGGGGATAAGATTTCTACAGATTCATGGGTATGATGGAATGGAACACACCGATGCGGCTGTGTGCATTCACAGTCGTCTGGACACGTCCACTCCTCATCTCAAGATGGACGAGAAGGGGTTTTTTGAAGAGCTTCAAAGACGCTCCTTCACTTTTGGTATGCAATCATTGCGGCACTTTAATGGTCGACCACTACGACCCCTGTAATTAGACGAGGCCGCTCGAGGTCAACGCTATGATGGTGCTGAAAATCGGATGATAACGAAACCATTATAGCTACATTCCCTCTCCGGAAGGGGGTGAGTAGTGAAGAGCTCCAGCCTCTTCACGCCGGTGATAGGATTTAGGCCCAAAGTAACTTATCGTCTCATTGAGTAAGCCTCCCGCAATCCACCATGTACATTTCATAATCATTCCAACAGGATTTATTGCAACACCCTCAAAATGTTGTCGCACTTCAGAAAACTTCTTATGCTTCGATCCAAGTTCGTCTATAAGAATGGCTAGTCGGTGGTAGAGAAAAAAAGTGATTTCGCCGAATTCAAACCTTTCTGTGGGCATTTACTTGTTTAACTTCCATGGTTTCAGTATAACCTACTCTGTGCACTCCATCTACATGTCAGAATTGGCACCAACCTCGGTGCGGTCGTTGTCGTATTCGATTATCAACATACCACAGAGCTTCGGCATCATTGTTGCACCATACCTGCGACATGTAGTAAGTTCAGTATTCTTGAAGTGTAATGTTTTTAGCATTTGTTATGACTGGTTCATCTGATGGAGGGGCGATGGCCATGTCCTTCTTGCCTGTTTGAAGAACTGAGAAATTGGTCCCTGTTTGCAGCGAATTGGTCCTGAGTATACGAAATTCGTCGTTGTTGGGATATTATGTTTGACAGCAGGAGCGCTGTGCATGCTCCTCCCCGAAACGAAAGATCGGCCACTACCACCTGACATAAGGAGTTTGACAGCAACTGATGACCACACTGTGGATATGAGAGATAGGGAAGAGCTCATGAGGTCAGTGAGTTTGAGAACTGCTTTTGTGTGATACCTGGCAAAATCTCATCTAGGGAAGATGAGACTGGTTTTTTTCACACAATCTCATCGCGATGGAAGCGAATCCTTAGGAATATTCAAAACGAAAGATAAAGCAACAGTAACAAAATCTTGAGAGGGACAGTAACAGTGTATTGATGGAAGAGAAAAATGAATAACGCATTCTGCTTCTGACGTGACAGCTTCCTGCACTGGCAATTCATGCACGCTTCCCATTACCGTTGCCGCGAGCAATGGCTCACCAATGCAGCTTGCAACCTCTGCTTTCATTCTGTTTCTCATTCCGAGTAGATTTTCTGGGAGCTCTTTCTCTTCAACCTTCCAAGCGGTCCAGAGGGCAACCCTTAACTGTTTCCGAACACGCCAACAAAGAATTATAAGTTGACCTGTTGGTACATGGCCCGACGCACTTCCTATCAAGGTTCAGTATCTTCATCATAAAGAATCGTAAAAAACTTCCCAGAATTCACCACCATTTCTTGCACCTCTGCATTTATCGTTTGCTTGTTTCTGCACAACTCTATATGCTTGAGTCTTTTACTCCAAATTATTTGCTGACATGTTTTTTCGTGAACGCGCGCTAGATTCCCATCTAAGTAGGCAAACGACAAATGCAAGCGCAATGAACATCAGCGCAGCTCTACACGTATCCAGGACTGTGCTCATGAAGTCACAACAGCTCTCTTCCACATCACCTTGTTCTCTGTGTACCTACCTAACGAGCTTTGCAGTGAGACTTGGCCGAAGTGAGCTAACTGCCTACAAGTTATTCTGCAAAGTAATACAGAAACACCTAGGAGGCGAATCAAATGAGTATGTGTTCCACAATCAGATAAGGGTCACTCCTCTCGAATTCCTCAATTCATGTGACAGAAATCAAGACTGAGCTCTGAGTCCTCAACACAAGCACATAAAATTCTCATCAAGATTTGGGCGTTTTAAATTGAAACTTGCCAGCGGCTTGCTCTCATACCGTGACTTTCGTCCGTTCTGTAAAATTCCTTGTGTAGTTCTAATTTTTTTTAGCAAATATCGAATGTGCAACCATAATTTGTGCATTGGCCCTTCCATAATGACAAGATTTCTTTTTCCAAACCTTGAATAACTGGCACTTGCCACAGTTTTTGACTCTAGAACATAACTATCTAGTGACGCGTCTCTAATCTCGGGGTGGCATGATCTCCTCAGTCGACTGAAACTGCATGTATTCGAGTAACTCTTCATATTTCTTCAAAATTGCTCTGTTTCAGGGAGCAATGTCTTGATGAAAGTGACGACACGAGTTCTGAGGAGGCTCCAATCTTTTCGCATGAATTTTGATTACTATTCTATTAAAAAGATAAAATTCACTTGCCTTACCATACTTACCGTCTAATTAATAAAATTTTAACGTAAATTACTTGTTTGACGCAATTATAACAATGACTTGCTACAATAATGCGAAGGTTACTATTTCAAGAAGTGTAAGATCCCTTGATAGAAAAATCCTTGAGGAAACTGCCTCTTGCCATTCATTGAGATTTTGCAACATCGACTGTCATCTTGTGATGACCGTGTTTTTTTATATTTTGAGCCAAATTGGCTGAAGCCTTGCATCCAACAGTGTCCGAACAAGCTTCGCACACTCACAGTACCTCTGTACACATTTACCACATTTTTCGTTTATCCGGATAGCTCAGCTTGATTGTGAGTACGGGTTTGCTTTATCATTACTAATCGATTCCTATTGTTTATTACCAATGTGTCCTCCATATCTCGTGAATGTCCGACCCAATGAGCGTTTAGCGGCGAAGCTTAGCAAAGTTGAGCACGTTTTGCTGATATCAGGGATAAAAGCTGTTCACTCGCGAAGGCCCAACCTCTGATACTTCAATCATATTTTTTACTACATTCATGCATCATAGGTAGACCGTGATTTACATAGGACAGCGGTTGCGACCTTTTATCCCTATGAGTGTGAATTTACAGTGGCGCCAGTATGTAGCAAAAGAGTGTGACTGCTTTTTTCAAGTCGATATAAGTATCTCAGAAATGGTAGACAGTCCGCGCTACTACAAACAGGAAAGGAACGCTGACACTAGGTTTGTTTTCGGCACCACTTCCCAGCGTAAGCTTAACGTCTTTCGCTGTGCTCTTTTCCACTTGTGACAGCAGTATCTCGTTGAAGAAGATACCTCTGCATAAAAAGGTGTTGGTGCAGTAGAGGACATGATCACGATCATGTGATAATATTAGAATAGCACTTAAACATTTCTTTGAATC